CTCTTTCCATCGTTAATTTCTCCAGCCCGTTGACCTTGATATGGAGTGAACAGTCACCTGGGAAAGATGCTTATTTTGAATTTCGAATTAAGAAGATTCCCCATTCCCTTCTTTTAATTTCTCTACTCCCAGAAGCAGCTGTAATGGTTTTTTGTCAAAATTATATGACGGTGAGTTAAATGATAGCAAAAAATTTCAAAATTTCATTTTCAGATTAGCAGAAAAATTACTCAAAACTTGGTACTAAGGGGAAAGAGCGAGACCTTTCAGTGTCACGAGACATTTTTCACAGGTCCACTCAAGGACTGCTTAATTCTCTAAAAAAAATGGAGTTGTGTTTGACATGCTATTCACTTAAATTGGATTCCTGACACGGTGGAGTTATGGGTTAACATGATACATTTTGTCCAATCTGTCCAGAGGAAAAGATAACCTAACATTCTTTCTAAATGCCTGCAAATGTTCAGATCCTCAAAACACTCTTGGAACCAAGAGCATCATCATCTTATAGATCCCCTCATTAATCATCATCTTATAGATCCCCTCTTATGGATCCCCTTATTAAAGTTAACAGATCTCTGATATGTCCCTATATTTGTATCAGAGTCATATCTTTAACTTTCAAAGTTATACTCTGAAAAATCAAAATAGAGTTTTCAAAGACCAACAGGTTTCCTTAAGGTCCTTTGCAATTTTCCTTTCCTCTCTCTAAATATTTTTAAAAGTAGCTGAATAAAAGCTTAACACAGGCATTCCCTGGAAATATCGCAGGTTTGCTTCCAGACCACCACAATAAAGCAAATGTTGCAATAAAGCTCATCACATGAGAATTTTTCGGTTTCCCAGTATGTATAAAAGTTATGTTTAGGGGCTTCCCTGGTGGCACAGTGGTTGAGAGTCCGCCTGCCGATGCAGGGGACACGGGTTCGTGCCCCGGTCTGGGAAGATCCCACATGCTGTGGAGCGGCTGGGCCTGTGAGCCATGGCCACTGAGCCTGTGCATCCGGAGCCTGTGCTCCTCAACGGGAGAGGCCACGGCAGTGAGAGGCCCACATACCACAAAAAAAAAAGTTATGTTTACACTATACTGTAGTCTACTAAGTGTGCAACAGCATTATGTCTGGAAAAACAATGTACACACCTTAATTAAAAAATACTTCATTCCTAAAAAATGCTAACCATCACCTGAGCTTTTAGCAGGGTGGGGGGGGTGGTGGGGGGGGGGGGGGGGGGTCTTGCCCCGATGTTGATGGCTGCTGACTGGTCAGGGTGGTGGTTGCTGAAGGGTGGGAGGCTGTGGTCATTTCTTAAAATAAGACAAGGAAGTCTGCCACGTCAATTTAAGCTTCCATTCACGAATGACTTCTCTGGAGCATGCAGTGCTGTTTGATAGCATTTTCCCCACAACAGAAGTTCAAGTTGGAGTCAGTCCTCTCAAACCCTGCCACTGTTTTCTCAACCAAGTGTGTGTAGTATTCTAAATCTTTTGCTGCCACTTCAATAATCTTCACAGCATCTTCACCAGGAGTAGATTACATCTCAAGAAACCACTGTCTTTATTAACCATAAGAAGCAACTCTTTTGTTAAAGGTTTATCATGAGATTGCAGCAGTTCAGTCACATCTTCAGGCTCACTTCTCACTGTAGTTCTCTTGCTATTTCCACCATATTTTCAGTTACTGACTCATCTGAAGTCTTGAACCCCTCAAAGTCATCTGTGAAGGTTGGAATCAACTTCATCCAACCTGCTGTTAATGTTGATATTTTGACCTCTCCCCATGAATCACCAATGTTCTTAATGGCATCTAGAATGGTGAATCCTTTCCAGAAGGTTTTCAATTTACTTTGCCCAGATCCATCAGAGGAATCACAACCTAGGGCAGCTGCAGCCTTACAAGATCTATTTCTTAGACAACAAGGCTTGAAAGTCTAAAGTACTCCTCGATTCATGGTCTGCAGAATGGATGCTGTGTTTTAATTTCCTACAGGAACATCTCCTTTGCATTCACAGCTTGGCTGTTTGGCACAAGAGGCCTATAGCTTTCATATGTCCTCCTCACTAAGCTTAATCATTTCTAGCTTTTGATGCTAGTGAGAGATGTGCAATTCTTCCTTTCACTTGAACACTTGGAGGCAATTGTAGAGTTTATTAGCTGGACTAATTTCAATACTGTTGTGTCTCAGGGAATAGGGAGACCCAAGGAAAGGGAGAGAGACAGGGAATGGCCAATTGGTGGAGCAGTCAGAACACACAGAACATTTATCAATTAAGTTCATCATCTTCTATGGGCGCAATTCGTGGTGCCCCAAAACAATTACAATAGTAACATCAAAGAGCACTAATCACGGATCATCATAACAAATATAATAATGAAAAAGTTTGATATACTGTGAGAACTATCAAAATGTGACACAGAGTCACAAGATGAACAAATGCTGTTGGAAAAATGGTGCCAAAAGACTTACTTGACACAGGGTTGCCACAAACCTTCAATTTGTTAAAAAAACGCAGTGTCTGGGCTTCCCTGGTGGCGCAGTGGTTGAGAGTCCGCCTGCTGATGCAGGGGACACGGGTTCGTGCCCCAGTCTGGGAAGATCCCACATGCCGCGGAGAGGCTGGGCCCGTGAGCCATGGCCGCTGAGCCTGCGCGTCTGGACGCCAACGTGAAGGCCACAACAGTGAGAGGCCCACGTACGGCAAAAAAAAAACAAAACAAAAAAACGCAGTGTCTGCAAAGAGCAATAAAGGGAAGCACAATAAAATGAGGTATGTCTATATGGTCTCAGATTTGAACTCTATGGACCGAAATAACTTTAGAAGTATTCAGCCCTTGAATGATTTAATATATAGTGTGAATACATTCCTAAGCCACCTACTGCCTCATACAAGTTATGTTCAGGAGTGTCAGACATGGCCTCTTCACTATGTATGTGTACACATTATTTAAAAATCACAAAACGAGGTTTATTCTTTCTGTTTTATTGAGACCAAAAAAGATAAGTTTATATTCAGCATTCTTGGCTCTAAAAATTCAAAGGTTGCCTGTTTTCAGAAACCTCTTTTATTCATTGTCTATGGTGCTGATTCCAAATGTTCTAATGCAGAGAAAGATCATACTTTTCTCATTTAAGTATTCCTAGTGATCTATTTGGAATGGAAAAATATTAACGCTCTCAACTTTGAAACAGGACTTGGACAAGTGTATGAAGTAATGTGGGCCCTTCAAAAATAACATGAAATAACAAATGTATTAAATAAGTGTAGGTATTCAATAATGTCCACGGATAAGAAATAAGGATTTTCAGCGGCTCCATGAATAGTATGGACTAAAATTAGCTTTTAGGTAGTATTCTCATTCAATGAAACAATTTTTTGATATAGTTGATTATGGTTAAAACAAACACAAAAATGTCCCAGAAAAAAAAAAAATACTTGTTTTTCGCAGCATGTAAAAAACTCAACCATTTTAATTCTTATTTTTAACCAATTCTTCTAACATTATTTGTTTTCATTTTAAGTCAGGTTTAAAGTTTATCTTTATAGTGTCTGGGGCTTTGTTTTGTTCTGATATTTTGTATTATTCAACTTGGAATAGGAAAATACTGGTGAATAATCATACAACACCCGGTTATTTGGGAGACACTAATTGACTAAATAGTAGTTCAAGATGAGTTTAAAAAGAGAAGCAGAAAACCTACAGTCCTGGAGTTCCAGAAGTAAGTTGTAGATCAGTGTTTCCCAAAGTGTCCTCAGTGGAATTCTAGTCTCCCAGATGGTCTAAGAAAAGAAAAGAAAAAAAGGGAGCTATATGATCAGAAATAAGTTTTTGAAAGGATGTATATTATAACTTCACAATGCATATCAGGCAGTATTTTGTTTTTCAACCAACATTTCTCAAACTCAATGAAGACCAAACAGTTTTTTGTTCCATGTTATCTATTAACATCATGTTGAACTGGGGATTTTGAGGAAAAAGTTCCAGAGTGTATCAGGGAAAAAAAAAATGCATAACAGATTAACTGGTATAATTATTAATTGAACAAATGATGTCACATGGTTGTCACTATTCCATAGCTATGAACAAGCCAGACACTGTCCCTGTCATCATGATGTTTTTAGAGTAATTATGAATGTATGTATACACATATAATATATAGTATATATTTTATGTACAACCCTATTTTATACAATGTAAGTAGAATGAGGGGGAAATAAAGATGCTAGATTTCAATATGGTTAATTCACTTAAATGTTAAAAGTTTCAATGTTTTACTTTTTCTATCAGTACTCTTAAAATCAACATCTGAATTTCAGACTTAATAGTCTTTATTATAATTGAAGATAAATTAATTCTAATGTATGGACTTGGCTATACGCAAAATAAAAAGCAATAATATAGTGGTCAAGAAAGAAATGTCTAGAGTTGCCAGGGTTCAAGACCCACCAGTTACTAGTAGTTTGAA